TTTTTTTTTTTGGTTGCAGCCATCATTGTTGTTTGGTGGCCTGGGCTGGATTCAAACCCGCCACCTTAGGTGTATGTGGCTGGTGCCTTAGCCACTTGAGCCACAGGTGCTGAGCCCAAGACAATTTTTCTTTCTTTCTGTCTTTCTTTTTTAGAGACGGAGTCTATGTGGCCCTTGGTAGAGTGCCATAGGGTCACAGCTCACAGCAACCTCCAATTCCTGGGCTTAGGCGATTCTCTTGCCTCAGCCTCCCAAGTAACTGGGACTACAGGCGCCCTCCACAATGCCTAGCTATTTTTTTTTCTTGCAGTTTGGCTTGGGGCCAAGTTTGAACCTGCCACCCTTGGTATACAGTGCCAGCGCCCTACTCATTGAGCCACAGGCGCCGCCCAGGACAATTTTTCTTATTCTTTTCTTTTCTTTTTTTTTTTTTTTAGATACAGTGTCCCACCTTATCACCCTTTGCAGAGTCCTGTGGCGTCACAGCTCACAACAACCTCCAACTCCTGGGTTTAGGCAATTCTCCTGCCTCAGCCTCCCGAGTAGCTGGGACTACAGGTGCCTACCAGAACACTGGGCTATTTTCTTTGTTGCAGTTTGGCCAGGGCCTGGGGCCAGCACCCTACCCACTGAGCACAGGCACTGCCTTTTTCCTCTCCTCTTCCCTCCCTGTCCTCTTCCTCTCCTCTCCTCCCCTCTCCTTTCCTTTTCTTTCCTTTTCTTTTTTTTTTTTGAGACAGAGCCTCGAGCTGCCATCCTGGGTAGAGTGCTATGGCATCAGAGCTCACTGCAACCTCCAACTCCTGGGCTCAAGCAAGTCTCCTGCCTCCTCCTCCCAAGTAGCTGGGACCACAGGCGTCTGCCACAATGCCCAGCTATTTTTTGGTTGTAGCTGGCATTGTTGTTTGGCGGGCCCGGGCTGGATTCAAACCCGCCACCTTAGGTGTATGTGGCTGGAGCCTTAGCCACTTGAGCCAAAGGCGCCTAGCCTCCTTTCCTTTTCTTTCTTGAGACAGAGTTTCACTTTGTTGCCTTAGGTAGGGTGCTGTGGCTTCACAGGTCACAGCAATCTCAAACTTCTGGGCTCAAGCGATTCACTTGCCTTAGCTTCCTGAGTAGCTGGAACTATAGGCGCCTGCCACAACACCCAGCTATTTTTTAGAGATGGGGTCTCCCTCTTCCTCAGGCTGGTCTTGAACCCATGAACTCAGGCAATCCACCCACCTTGGCACCCCAGAGTGCTAGGATTACAGGTGTGAGGCCCCACACCCAGCCCTAATGTTTGTTTGTTTCTTTCTTTTTTTTTAAGAGACAGGGTCTTGCTGTTGCTCAGGCTGGTCATTCTGATTTTGTGACAAAAATACCTCATAGGTGGCATCATGTATTTCCTGTTGAAGCACAGAATATCTGGCCATCTCTCCTTTTGTGTTGAAATGATTGATTAGTGGGTTAAATTTCTATCAGTCTAATCTATCTATTGTCAAGTTTTTTTTTGAGACAGAGCCTCAAGCTGTCACCCTGGGTAGAGTGCTATGGCATCACAGCTCACAGCAACCTCCAATCCCTGGGCTTAAGCGATTCTCCTGCCTCCGCCTCCTAAGTAGCTGGAATTACAGGCGCCCGCCACAACACCTGGCTATTTTTTGGTTGCAGCTGTCATTGTTGTTTGGCAGGCCCATGCTGGATTCGAACCTGCCAGCTCAGGTGTATGTGGCTGGCGCCTTAGCTGCTTGAATCACAGGCGCCAAGCCCTATTGTGAAGTTTTTTTAAGTCTCATTTAATGATTTTAGCAGCCATTGATCATAGCTTAAGTCATTTGTCATTGTAGGTTACAAATTGGTATTATTCCAATTTTATCATTCTTTCTGAATTTACTGGCTGGAATTCTATACGGTTTTATTCATCAACTATTTTATTATCCTGAAGCAAATTCCTAAGGAAAAGCAAGATAAATACTTGACTCTCTTCTTTTATTTTCCAGTTTTCAGAATAATGAGATGGTATCCTAGCATCTTCCAAACATGACTGGTGAAAGTTGTATGTGTATGTTATCACAAATGTTCAGATTTCAACATGTTTGGCATATTTTAATTCATTTCAATTACTGCTCCTTTTGTTACTCAAATTGTTCCATCTTTGGC